CCTGATACATTTAGCCCCTGGCTTGACAGCAAGTTCCCTCTTCCCTGCTTTCCCTTTTTTAAGATGCCCTCATGGGAGCTTAGGAGTTGCTTGAGCATTGGGAAAATGCAGCTTGACTTTGAATAAATTGGCATTCTCTTCACAAGAATGACCCACTATGTGTTGTCTGTTTTGTCTGTTTCATAAGCCTAGTCCCTCCGCTCGGCTCGGGGTGCATGGCGACGTGGGCATTGCTGACAAAACAAAATGCCAATTTAATAATTGTTTCGTGTTTCAAGGATAGGATACTAGCCATGAACATGAATGTCATATTCATGATCCAGTCTTCATAAGCAATGACAATAGGCCCAAATCAACATCTAGTCCAGTCCTTGATCAAAAAATCAATTGCATAAATGTTTATCCAGAATAGTGGAAAAAATGTGAAAGATAAAAAAGCAATTTCAGGATTTGCTAATTAATGTAAAATGCAACACCACTTAAAACATTATTGGAAATAAATTATCCTGATTGTGTAAATAAGCTTTGGGAGCTTTCTTTACCCTAGAGTTGATAAGGAGCCATGTGTGATGCCAACGTCCTATATGGGTGGTCAGGTCGTGTTCTAGCAGCTCCACTTTTGGTCCAGTTCCCTGATAATGTACCTAGAAAGGAGTAGAGGATGGCCAGACTGTCTCTGCCTCTGCCACCAAAGTAGAAAATATGGAAGAAGCTCCTGGCTCCTGGCTGCGAATCAGCTCAGCTCTGGCATTGTGCTCATTTGGAGTAAACCAATAGGTGGGAGGTTTTCTCTCTCTCTCCCCTCTCTTCTCTATTTCCCCTCTCCCTCTAGCTCTTGCTCCTTTCTCTCTCCATGTTTCTTCGTAACTTTGACTTTCAAATAAATGCATCCTTTTAAGCAGTTTTCATTTACTGTATACTGATCAGACCACAAAAAAGTAGAGTATTTACATGTGAGAGAAAAGAACCATGATCTTATTAGATCATCTGAGATCCATATCCAATAATGAGAAGTTGAAAAACTCAACGATAATAACAAACTCTTCCTTCTAGCAGCTATTGCTAGTGTTTTAGTAATAAGTGAGAGCTGAAGGAATAAATGGTGGCACAATTGTATCTTTAATATGACAATTTCTTATCTTGTGCACACAGTCTTTATTACGGATGTACGCAGGAGTGGAATTGCTATGTCACGTGACAGATTTACTTCTAGTTCTTACAGCATCTCTATATTATTTCAGAAGCATTCACAGTAGCCAAGGTATGGAATCAAAAAAGGTGTATAGTATCAGACATATGGGTAAATATAATATATTACAAAGATACAACCAAATAAGATTCAGCCATTACAAGATTGATATTATGTCATTGCAGTGAAGTGAATGGAATTGAATACATTGTGTTAAATGATTAGCCCAGATATTGAAATACAAATACCACATGTTGGTCTCATTTGTGAAGTTTAAAAAGGAAAAAAATAAAAGAAAAAAGAAAAAAGAAAGAAATTACACCTGAACATAGACAGTGGTTAATAGAGGCCGGGAGAGAAAGAAGTTAGGGAATGGGATATGGAGGGTATTTTGAAAACAGTTACCAAATCTGAGTTATATCTAAGGACCTAAGTTGTTAATGGCGTAGTGCGTGACTAGAGTTTATAGTTATCTCTTAGGGATTGTTATGAGCAAATTGAAGAGGGAAGCTCTAGTCATAACATAAGATAATGTCAAGAAGGGAAATGAGAGTTATCCTGATTTACTCAGTTCATTTAATATACATGTATTGAAATATTATACTTTTGTCCATGTATGTATATATACTTATTTTTATTGATCTAAAACATTTGTAACAATTGTGGTTTCTGTACTATCAGATTCATACTCTTTTAGACATTTTATTCTAGAATTACCAATTGGAGACTTCATCTCAATATATTGTAAAACATGAACTTAAAATCATCAAACAGTGAGACAAGCTGCCTTAGAAAACTGCTATCCTTTTCATGGAGGCATTTACAGTGTAGGCTAGATAATCTTTCTTGGGTTTCCTGTATCTGTATAAAGTGATTTTTCTTGAATAGGATTTTAGACAAGATGGTCTTTTCTGTAACCTTTAAAATCATTAATTTAAAGAAATTATGAATCATCTATTACATGGGCAGCTGAAAATATATTAAAAAAACAGTCTAAATTATATAGGGTGTAATTTTGGGACTGGGCATTGGCACACCAGTCAAGATACCTAAATCATCAGAAAACTAGAATTAGGAGAGGATCAAGGATTTGAGTGCCAGGAGTTCTGGCTCTGTTCCCAATTTTATCTTTCTGATGATGGGTACCCTAGGAGGTGGCAGGGGGTGGCTCAAGTGATTGGATATTGGTCATTCACATGAAAGACAGAGTTCCCAGCTTCTGGCTAGCACCAACTGTTATGTGAACTTGGGAGGTGATCCAGCAAGTTGAGAGCTTGTTGTCATGTATATTCATTATCTATTTCTCTCTCTTTCTCTCTCAATTTTTAAAGACCTGGTGGTTCTGCTTATTTTAAAGTTGAAAAATCTTCTATCAATATATGTAAAAAAAAGTAATTAAGTAACAATCTATCCATTACAGAAGATTAAGTGAATTCATTGAAATGACCTCTTGTAGATGGTGGGGCTTAAGTTACTTCTTGAAGAATGGTCAGCTTTCAGTTTTATCACTTTCAATAACTGACTTGTCAGGAAGTAGTTCTGTTCTTTAAAAAAAAAAAAAGATTTATTTATTTTACTTAAAAGTCAGAGTTGCAGAGAAAGAGGAACAGAGAAGAGCGATCTTCTATCCTCTTGTCGACTCTCCAAAGGGCTGTGATTGCCAGAGCTGATTTGAACCTAGGAGCTAGAAGCTTCTGGATCTCTTTTATGGGTACAGTTGTCCAAGAACTTGAGACATCCTCCACCGTTATCCATTGCCACAAGCAGGGAACCTCCTCCTCAACTGAATTTGAACTGTGGTTACGCAGCAAGGTGGAGAAATCCACCATGGGGAGAGGGTTCAGGGAGGGGTGGGGTGAATCCCAGTGCCCATAACACTGTGTCACATAATGTAATGCAATTAATAAAATAAAAAAAAAAAGTGAACCAGCTTGGACTTAAGTCAGTGCCTATAGGTGATACCATGTTTAAAAACACTTTGTATGTTTTGAAGTTGTGTATTGTCATGCCTACAACTGTCACTCACATCCCGGGATTCCTTTGATAGTTTGAGGTACTACATGATTCACTTCAGATTTAAGAGCACTTTTCTATTTGTACAAACAAAGTCATCAGTAGTTTGATATATAAATTGCATTGAGTCAATAGATTGCTTGGGGTAACATGGGTTTTTAAAAATATTAATTCTACTCCATAAACAGATGTCTTTCTTTTTTGTCCTCTTCAATTTCAATCATCACTTTTTTGTAACTTTAATTGCACAGATTACTTATTTAATTGGTTAAAATTATTCATATGTATTTTAATGTTTTTGTAGCTATTTGGATGTATTTGCTTTCTTGATTTCTTAGTGATTGCATTATTACACTATTAAACATTACTGAATTTATATGTTAATTCCATTTCGTACAACATACTGAATTCATTTCTTTTTTAAGATTTATTTGTTTTTATTGGAAATACATATTTTATGGAGAAGAGAGACAGAGAGAAAGATCTTCCATCTGTTGGTTCACTTCCCTAATGTCTGCAACGGCCCAAGCTGAGCCAATCTGAAGCCACGAATCATGAGCTTGTTCCGGGTCTCCCACATGGGCACAGGATCCCTAGATTTTGGGCCTTCCTCCACTGCTTTCCCAGGCCACAAGCAGGGAGCTGGATGGGAAGTGGAGTAGCTGGGACATTATCCAGCATCTGTATGTTATGTCAGTACTTGCAGGTGGAGGATTAGACAGTTGAACCAATGCATCACCTCTGAATTAATTTCTTAATTATATATTTTTGCTGAAATCTTTAGGCTCTCCTATATGTGTATATGTATGTATATCTATCTATCTATACAAAAATTTCTTTCTTTTAAAATTTAATGTGTTGACAAGATATTTTATAAAGTAATCCATAGTTACAATTAAAGAAGACAATCCCAATTCCCTCACTCCTTTGTTCCCCTCAGTAACCATCCGTCAGTTTTTGCTAAAGACTTAAATTTAACATACTCTATATTCACAGGCTTAATTCCCCATATTTTCACTGAAGCATAAACATGTGCTAAAAGCAGCAATCATATTCCAAAGTGACTATTTACTTTCTAATACATTTTTTCCATATTAACTGCCACATATCAGAGAAGACACATTTGTCTTTTTGCTACTGGCTTATTTCACTAGGCCTGGTGGTTTCCAGTTGCATCCATTTTGTGGGAAAAGTCAGAATTTTTTTTTCTTTTTTGTGGCTGAATAGTATTCTGCAGTGCAGATACTTTACATGTTCCTTATCCAATCATCAGTTGATGGACCTGAGTTGATTTGATGTCTTAGCTGTTGTGTGTTGAAACTCAGTAAACGTGTGTGAAATAATGTTTACTACAAAAAGGGCATTTGACTTTTTCTTTGTTCTTTTGTTGTACTATATGTCTTCTATTTTAGTTTGGCTAACAGTTTATGCAATTTACTTTTTTAATGTTTATGATTTTTCATAATGTTAGTTATCTTTATATCACTTTTCCATAGCATACTTTTGAAGATAAAATTGCAATTCCTTTTTTTATGGATGACAATAAATGAGGCTTAAAGATTTCAGGTCTATTTCTTCAAAACATTTTAGAATTTTTTTATGTATTGGAGGTGAAATGTGAACTTATATTTCTGATTTTGAAATGTATCCTCTTTCCATTTTATCACAACATTCAATTATTCTCTTTGCCTAAGTAACCATGCAATAACTGGGAAAGGGAATAGGTTAATAACAACAATTTAATTGGGCTTTATTGCTAAATGCACTAAGTGTCTGTTTAAATGTGCATTTTTTATAGGCAGTGATTTGGGAAATGATGAAGCCATTGGAGGAAATGTGAGCAAATATGCGGTGCTTCCAGTTGGGTACTGTGGACAGCCCAAGAAGGGACATCTTATTTTTGATGCATGCTTTGAGAGCGGTGAGTATGTTAAATTCTTTTGCCTTTGAGTTTATTTGGTGAGGTTATTTTTTTGAATCAAATTCCATTAGAGTAATTCTACCCATTAAACATTTTATTGTAATGGAATAAATGTCAGTGAAAAATCAGGTTTGAAGGAATTAGCTTGTGTCTAGCTAATGGGAAATAATGATGTCAGTTATATGGCAGTTGTTTGAGTTCTAAGGACACAGATTGCTTATTCCAAAAAACTGAACATATGCTTTGCTCAGTGATTTTTCCACATTGTATTAGTTTACTAGTAATGATATAGCAAAGCACCACTTAATGAGTCCTTTTCAAAATAGAAATTTATTGTATTACGGAGTTGGAGATCAAGTTCTTGTTAGTAGGATAGCTCTTTCTCATTGGTTTAGAGATGGAAGGGATCTGTCCAGTCCTCTTGCTAGGCTCATGGAAATTATTAGTAATATGTGGTCTTAAGAAATTTCATCCTAATCTGTAACTTCTTGTATACATGGTATTCTCCCTATGATATCTATCTCCAGATTTCTCTTGTATGTTGTCTGTCATATGAGATGTATGACTCACACTAATAATCTCATTTTTAAAAGATTTATTTATTTTCTATTGCAAAGTCAGATATACAGAGAGGTGGAGAGACAGAAAGAAAGATTTTCCATCTTTTGATTCATTCCCCAAGTGGCTGCAACAGCTGGAGCTGTGCTGATTCAAAACCAAGGGCCCAGAGCCTTTTCTGGGTCTCCCACATGGGTGCAGGGCCCCAATGCTTTGGGCCATACTAAACTGCTTTTCCAGGCCACAAATAGGGAAGTGGGGCTGGTGGGATTAGAAGCGGCACCCATATGGGATCCCAGCGTGTGCAAGGTGAGGACTCTAGCTGCTAGGCCACTGTGCAGGGCCCCAGCAATCTCATTTTAAACTTCAGTAGTTGCATAGAGGTCTTCAAGTCAATTCGCATTCTGAGGTGCTGGGGGTTAACACTTCTATATATGAAATTTGAGGAGACACAAGTTAGCCCACATTAGTGTTGTCTTTTCTGTTGTATCTGAATAATGTCCACATAATTAGGACTAAATTTTGTACTAGTTCCTTGTCTTTAATATACTTTGTTCCCAGGAAATACCTTTAATTGTTTAAACTTTAGTAAGGACCAGAAGATCTTTAGTAATAATAAAAACTCTATGAAAGTGTGTATTGTCCTCATTTTAAAGATTAAATGTTGCCTGGATTTATCTATAGCATGAAATAATCCAGAGTTCCTTATTGGAGGATATTTTATTTAATAATTATTCAGTCTATCTTCATTGCTTGCAAAAAAGTCCAATACAAAAATTTTCCCAGTCTGACATCATAATCCTGAAATGAATAATGTATACTTTGCTAGCAATATAAAAATAGTCTGTCAGTTATTTTTTGTGGTCATACATGAACCTTGCAATATAGTGTGGAGGTTGGAATCAGACTATAGTTTACATACCAGCTTGAAAAGAATCACAGTGTGCAAAAATGTCTTTTGATATTAATAATGTTATATAGCTATAATAAACATTAAAACATATATTTGCTTCTTTAAAATGTTAAGGTACTTTACTAAAATAAAATAGATTTTATTTGAAAAATAGATAATGGGGGTCCTGCAATGGTTCAGCTGGTTGCTTCATGTCCCATTCGGTTTTCTGCTAATGGTCGGGACAGCAGTGGAGGATGGCCCATCGCCTCAGGATCCAGTACTCATGTGGGAGACCTGGAGGAACTCCTGTGTCTGGCTTTGGATTGACTCAGCTCTGGCTGTTGCAGACATCTGGGAAGAGAGCTGACAGATAGATATTTTTCTGTCTCCTCTGTGTAAATCTGTTCTTCCAATAAAAAGAATAAACAAATCTCTTCTAAAAATAGGTAATGAGGAAATTCAAGGAAGGTGATAAGTTAGTTTTGGCAAAGAAGACTTATCAAAAATTAGGCTATCTGTGTCCCAGTCTTCATCAGGCTTTTTGTCTTTTATATATGTTCAAGCACCGAAGTTGGTAGTTGAAATATTCAGGACAAGTTGGTAGTTGGAAATAAATTGAGGTACAGTCCTGCTCTGTTTGTTTACTCTCTTCAGGCTTCAGTGGACTGATTGATGCCCCTTCCCCGTACTGGATAAGATAATCTATTTTAGACTAAGTCCACTGATTCAAATGCTATGCTCACTAAGAAACACTCTCCCAGACACACTTGGAAATAATATTTTGTCTGGGTGTCACATGGCCCCTTCAGATTGGCCTCCTTAGTACAAAGGGTCTGACATTGTGGTGCTTCCGGTTAAGCTGCCATCCATGATGGCTGCATCCTGTGCTGGTTTGAATTCCACTGGCTCCACTTCTGACCCTGCTGCCTACTAATGTGCCTGGGAAAGCAGTGAAAGATGACACAAGGCCCCTGTGTATCTGTGATATAGATCCAGATGGAATTTTAGACCTCTGGCTTCAGCTTTGTCCAACCTGGACCATTGCAGTCATTTGAGGACTGGACCAGTGGTTAGAATATCCCTTTGTCTGTCTCTGTCACTCTGTCTTCCTGTCTCTCTGTAGATCGACCTTTCAAATAAATAAGTGTATCTTAAAAAGAATAATCACCACAGGGGAAATAGCAAATGCAATTCAGTTGCATGGATATATAAAATGCATGATATTTTACCTTAGAAACTTATATACAATAAAGTGTACATTTTTCTGAAAGATAATATCTTAAGAGAAAATATGTCATGTACTAGAATGTGATAAAAATTCTTTCTGTTGTGTTTCACAAAGTGGTCACTGAAATAATATCCACAGCATCTTCAACAATATCCTTTGGTATTTACAACATATTTTATAGGAGTAAAACTTGTTATCTGCTTTAGTGTGGTCTGGGGGTTATAATGCTCAAGGGTGAAAAGCAATTTTAGTGAAATCAGTTCACTTACTACTTAAAACAGATTAATGTGTGTTTCATCTCATCTAATTTAATTCGAGGATTTATTTTAGATTATTTATAAAAAGGGTGTCAGTGGGATTTTCTCAGTTATGCAGCTCTGATGTACGAACTGTGGACAATTGCTGCGTGTGTTTTTAAGGATTCTGAGGGTGCACGCAGGCTTACTGAGGAGTGAGTTAGTACATTCAGGGGATTGGGAGTATTGCTTCATGTTGTGTGAGCTGTGTTACCTTTAGATAAACCTTCACAAGCAGTTTTTTTTTTTCCTTTTCTTTTGAAGTTTCAGAGTTTGTGATGTGCCTAGCACATTGTTTGGCCCCTAGCTGACAGATAACTATTCAATTTTTCTTGTAAAAATAGGCCTGTGGGTCAGCTAAAAACCCTGTTATGAATGTCTGATCTTTTTAATGTTGTAGCCCTCTGTCCTCAGGTATTATTTCCTTTAGGAAAGTAGCTACACCGGCCTAATTTTCTCTCTCTGGAGCTGCTTTAACGTTTCTTGTTGTTTGTACTTTGTTGTTTCCTTAGCCACAGTATGACCTGTTTCAAGATAGAGTCAGAGTCTGATAACTCTGTTCTCCCACAGAACCACGCAGTGTCTACAAAATTCAGCTCTGCATTGATTCTCTATTTGTTGAAGTAATATGAGCAACAAAAAGACGAAGAAAAATAACTTTCTGCATGATAGCTTTGATAAAAAACATAAATATTTGTTTGTCATTCACCTTCTATGAAATCTAATTAAACATTTATTCCCATGCAAATGCTGTTTCCTTTGTACCTGGGACTCCTTTTTCTAGGTGGTGGTATTTGTCAGGCAGGTTTGGGTGTCTGTATGGAAAAATGCTCTTAGGAGTTCTATGATAGCTCTTGTTGCACTGGGTTCCTGTAATTGTCTCTCCCCTCGTTTTTTTTGTTGTTGTTTTTTTTATTATTAGTGCAAACTCTTTGAAAACAGAGATGGTCTCTTAGTAATTTTTGTTTTCTAGCACCTGTGTAATCAGATAAAAATCTCTCAATAAATATGGGGATAAATGAGGGATGACAGCAGTGATCAGCAATATAATCATCAATGAGGTTTTAAGACCAATATTTTATGTTTAGATAAAAATTTAGCAATAATAATAACATGAGTGAAATTTATTTACTTATTGGTTTTAAGACACTGTGACAAATAATTTACACATTTGATTTTATTTCGTACTCACAAAAGCTTTCTTGAGTTACTATACTAATTTGGAACTCAAGGAAACTGAGGTGCAAGCTATTACAATAATTTGTCCTAAATTATATGTTCTTCAAGTGGTAAAGCTGGTTTTGACACTTGCTGACACTTGCAATATGCTGGTTTGCTTATTGCTGGTCAGTATATTTTATATATACATATATACACATACACACACATATATATATAATAGATTTATCATTAAAATTTTCTCACTAAGGGATAAATTAAGAATACTTCCAGTAGTCAGCCAGAACGTGTAATTAAAAGAGAACTTATTTTTGATATAACAGTCAAAATCTATGTGGGCTTTTTTTTTAAGATTTATTTTTATTAGAAAGTCAAATCTTCAGAGAAGGAGAGGCAGGGAGAAATATCTTCTATCTGCTGGTTCACTCCCCAAGTGGTGCTAAGGTCGGAACTGAGCTGATCTAATCTGAAGCCAGGATTCTGGGTTTCCCATGTGAGTGCATGGTCTCAAAGCTTTGTGCTATCCTCTACTGCTTTCCTAGGCTACAAGCAGGGAGCTGGGTGGGAGGTGGATCACCTGGGACACAGACCAATGCGCAGATGGGATCCCAGCACATGCAAGGCAAAGATTTTAGCTCCCAGGCTACTGTGCCAGACACCTCCCCCCCCTTTTTTTTAATAATGATCATTTTCTGTGAACTTTTGATGTGCCCTTCTACGGTTAGGAAAAAGTTTCTTTGATAAAGAAAGCTGGAAAAAAATCAACCTTTCAAAAAAAAAAATACAGGTAAATAACTAAATACTAATCTTGCTAAACAGCATGGTAAATTTGAGAATTATTTCA